AAAGTAAAAGTCAAGTGTTCGTTGTAATTTTTTATTAAAATATAGGAAAAATTTTAAAAAAAAACCCAAGACCACACTTTCTATGCAATTTACCGCCAACCTAACTTTTTCTCTCACTTTTTTCTCCAAAACAAGCTTTCTATGCAAATACCCCCTAAGGAAAATGTCACGACCTTGCTCCCGTCTACCTAACCGTCACAACAAAAGGCGATCGGGCGTGGGTTCGTGACCCCAATGTAGCGTTTATCACCCAGGTGGGGGTAAATTTAACGCCTTTATATGGTAATCAACAAACCAAGTAAATGAACACTGCTATGAAGTAAAACTTAACAAGCCCATTCCTGAGAAAGATATTACATTATATTATAGTTCAAAAGGTGATACAATCAAGTTCAAGGCTCCAAAGCCCATAATTACAAAATTTCTAAGAACAATCTAAGCAGGGCTGAGGGCCCAAAACATACAAGATTCTCCAGCTTCTTCAAAAAGTAGTCGCTTCAGTCCTAAGCTGCAGCCCATACCTCCGACTTGTAACATGTTGCTTTCAATCTACAGGGAGAAAAATGTAGTGGAATGAGCTTTGAAGCTCAGTAAGCAGATCTAGTGTTATACATGGCTATTAAACATACTCAGGTGCAAGGAATAGTGTCATTAATCATCATCTATAATAGTGCAGTAGTCGAGCATATTGGTTATCAAATCAATGCAGCCATTATAACAAGATATCTAATATAAAAGTGCATCAAACATAAGCACCACCAGGCATGCAATATAGGAGAAATCATAATTCCAATATATACATCATATACTCACTCCCTAATTCACCGACTCCTACTAGTAGAAGTCCTACCCATCAAGCTAAGCGAATCCCGTTGCTTAGGGCTTCTACCATCCCACAGGAGAGAGGGTGATGACAAGTGGGGCAATCCGCTTCGTAATACCCTCGACTTACGCACACGGTCCCCAGTGCGCATTGGGGGTTCGATAGGCCGTCACCTTGCAAGGCATTAAATCAGATCTCATATCTCATATTATGAATCATAGGGAGCGACCATCTTTTCTCCCCTAACCTGTTCTTATCATTGTGCAGGCTAGGGAATACACCGACATCACTATCTCGGTAAACCTAGCTCTACTACCGATAGGCTCGGGTCCCACCGTGTAGCGGCCAGTGTTCTCATCATTAAGCCCAGTATCCACTACCAAAAGGCTCAAGTCCCAATGCATAGTGGTCAGCATTATCATCAGTATAATCACACAATATACACTATCAATGGGCTTTGGTCCTAATGCATAGTGGTTAGCATTTTCATCAATAAAACAATACAATAGTCACTACCAATGGGCTTGGGTCCCAATGCGTAGTGGTCATCATTAAGGCCTCATTCCACCCCATTTATACCAGTCAATTTATTTGCCTCATGGCATATACATAACATTCTCATCATAGTAGTATCATAACAATATGGCAATCATCACGGGGCATTTATTTCGTGATTCATAGCATCACATTCATACATGAGCATTATCAATGGAATTTTGACAATTATCAAGGAGCTTTCATCATGAATCAGTTGTATCAATATTGCGTCGTTTACTCTTCACCTATTTGTTAAGTGTCATCAATCCCTTATTCCCATGGCCTATACATGGCAATTATCATGTGGCAGTCACACTCATTACTTGATCAATACATCTTAGTAACTAAGCAAGAAAGTTAGATGCTTTACTTATTGAGAAAATCAAACTTTATTCACAAGATCAAGGTGCAGCCTCAAATGAGCACTAGTAATGAGTAATGATGTGTCTATGCATTTTCAAACATAACTCAACATTTATAGGGAACTTTGAGAATCTCAAAACATGCAACTTTACGTTCATTCACAAAACTTTACATCTGTGGCAGATTTGAGGCATTTAGGCGTCGTTCATCTGGTCGAAAATGCGGCCCAAACAGGTTCACAATTGCTTTACAGCAACTGTGGCAGTGACATATCTCGCATAAGCGGTCATATCTCTTGATTTTCATGATATTATAACATGGTGCATGAGGCAAACTTTAACTAGACCTGTACGTCTTGCGTTGAAACTGATTTGGGCCCAAGTGGGCATCGTTTGGCTAGTGAAAAGCACTGAGCAACATCCTTAACTTTTGCTGGAAATTATATGTATCATCGTCGTGTTACTTACTTATGAACCAACTTAAATCTCATTGGATAAGCTTGCGAGTGTAGCAAAAAAAGGCCCTATGATTTCTTTAAAAACTTCAATTCATTCTCAAACATTTATTTTACCCTATTTCGTTCATTCCCCAATTCATTCTTCCCATTGACAATGTTCTATTAATTTCCAATAAAGCTGAAGAACATAGCACTAAACCCACTTACAGGCTCACAGCACGCAATTTGCCCGCCGCCCTTGGTGCTTCCCACGGTAGCTTCACGTAGTCGCCTTCGTCCCAGAGGCCTCCTCACGACGATAGCACTCCCACGGCTATGATGCAGGCACGCGCACGACGATGGTTAGAGGGCGCTATTTAAAGACGCGGGGGTAGGTGAGGGTTGGTGGGAGTTGGTGAAGCTCACTGTGGTTGACGTCGAGGTAGGTGGGGAAGAAAATTGCAGTGGGCATCAGCCACACGACGCGTTTCTGACAAAAGCGGAATGGCGCTGACCCTGTTGGCTATTGTTCAACGCTTAACCCACACGACAATAGCCTCCTCTTCTTCTGGCGATACTCTGCCTTCCACGCAGAGATAGCCTTCCGCGCGGTGAAAGCCTGCTTCTCTCCCTCTCCTCTCTGTCGTGTCCTTAATCCAGGCGGCGATAAGCTTGCGGCGATGCTCCAGTCGATGATAACTTATTTCACGCGCGACGTTAATCTCCTTTACGTGCAACGATGCTTCTTACGCCTTTCGCGTGAGGCAATAATCCTCTCACGCTCGCGACGATACCCCTCGCTCGCACGTGGCGTTACCATTCTTCACTCTTACGCGCGGCGATAGCTTCCATGCTACATGGACGACACTAGGTCCAAACGCCCAGACGGTGCTAACCTTTGCCCTTAACGCCGGTCGTGCGCTTCTGTCTTTCTCGACTCCCTTCTCTCTCTCTCTCTCCTGCCGCGAGTGGTCTGGTGCAATCGAACTGCAGTCCTTACATCATCCCCTTCTTAAAAAGGATATTGTCCCCAAAATCATTGATCAAGGAGGTGGGGGTATTTCTCCCTAATTTCATCATCCCATTCCCATGTTGATTCTTCCTTTGAGTGATATTGTCATTGTACTCGGACTAAAGGAATTTCCTTATTGCGTAATACTTGCACTCTTGGTCCAATATCCCGATCGGTGGATCAACATAGGTTAGGTCTTCCCTGAGTAGGATTGGTTCGTACTCCAAAACATGGGACGGGTCAGGTTGATATTTCTTCAGTAGGAATATATGGAAGACATTATAGAGGTTGGCCAAATCAGGTGGCAGGGCAAGTCGGTATGCCACGCCCCCAATCCTTTTCAGAATCTCAAAAGATCCAATGAATCGTGGGTTTAATTCCCTTTCGTACCAAATCTCGTAACGCCCTTGGTTGGCGATACCTTCAAGAAGACCCGGTCTCCTACCTCAAACTCGAGGTCTATCTTTCTATTATCGGTGTAACTCTTTTGCCGACTTTGGGCTGCCTTGAGCTGTTCTCTAATTAAGGAGATCCTTTTAGCGGTTAGCTAAACTATTTCAGGCCCTAATAATTCCCTTCGTACCCCCAGGATGTATCGTGTAACGAGAGTGGTGTGCTTCCTTCAGAATGGCCTTTTTTACACTTTCATCATTGGGAATACATACTCGGCCCTTAAACTTTAACAGTCCATCACAGCCTAAAGTAAAATCCTCTTTTCTTTTTTGTTCTTCGAAGATTTTCATCAGGTGGGGATATTCTTTCTAAGCCTCTCGGACTCGTTGGAAGTGTGGGGGCTCCACCCTTAGACATGACAATACTTCTCTCCCTTCACCGAGAGGTTGGATGAGTGGCATTCCATTACATCCTCCAACAACTTCATTTCTCGCACCATCAATTGTGCCATGGAGACCACGATTTTCCTGCTTAAGTCGTCGGTTACTATATTAATCTTACCTGGATGGTATTCGATTGTGCAATCATAGTCATTTAGTAGGTCCATCCATCTCCTTTGCCTCATGTTCAACTCTTTCTGGGAAAACAGGTACTTGAGGCTCTTGTGGTCCATGAACACCTTAAACTGGGCTCTAGAGAGGTAGTGCCTCTAGATTTTTAGTGCAAATACTACTGCCGCGAGTTACAAATCTTGAGTAGGGTAGTTTTGCTAGTGTGACGTTAATTGCCTGGAGGCATAAGCAATAACCTTACCTCTCTGCATTAGTACACTCCCGAGCCCTTTATGAGATGCATCAGTATAAATCACGAAGTCTTCATTTCCTTCGAGAAATGCCAAGATCGAGGCAGTGGTCAGTCTCTTTTTAAGTTCTTCAAAACTTCTCTCACAATCTTCTGACCATGTGAATTTTACGTGCCTGTAGAATCTGATTAACCCCAGGTCACTACAAACTTCAGTCACATTTGCTGGCCTCTCCCATCTAAGTATGGCTTCAACTTTGGAGGGGTCGACCGCGATCCCACCCTGAGAAATAATGTGACCCAGGAAGGTTACGCTGGGAAGCCAAAACTCACTTTTACTAAATTTCGCATACAACGTTTTTTACTTTATAGTTTGCAAAACAGATCTTAGATGCTGCTCATGTAACTCCCAGCTTTTTGAGTATACCAAAATATCATCAATAAAGACCACCACAAAGTTATCTAGAAAACGTCGGAACACCCTATTCATTAGATCCATGAATGCAGTAGGGGCATTGGTTAATCTAAACGGCATCACAAGGAACTCCTACTGACCATAATTGTTATAACCATCGGTGTCAGTGGTCCATGAAATGATATCATTCGTAATTGTTATATTCCCATTCGGATCCAAAGGGTCGTAACAGTCTGCACCCAGAAACAAATATCAAAACAAATTTGCTTTGACAAGTAACATGTACATATTTAAATAAAAACTAAAGATCAACCATTTAAAGACCTCATACAGGTGGAAGGCAAAAAAAAAAGAAACACTTAGACGAGGGGGAAAAAAAAGTAAATCTGGTCTGCAATATAACAAGATTCAAGTAACAGTAGCAGTAGCAATTCTTGGAAAAAGAGTTCTGAAGGTAAGGACGGCTCCTTTTCTCAGATGTACACTGTGGTCAGGCTCTCCTCCTCATCCCAGACTTAATAATAAAAAGAATTTCTTAAAAGAAATGGGAGAAAACAAAGGATGATAAAGGAGAATTATAACATGGATTGAAACTTAAAAGAGTCTCTCACAGAAGATGAACCAAGAACATACATTAAGAAAGATTTTGGAGAAAAGTTAGGAAAACCACTTCTATAAAAATCAATCCATGTTAAGTTCAGTTAAGATAAAATAGAAGCATTGGAAATGTCAACTGGATTAGAATGTAGAGAAATTCAAGGCCAATCCAAGTACTAAGACAATTTCCAGAATAATCAGCGGCATTTTTGGATATTTCTTTGGATGGTCAGAAGCATGCCACAACATATGTAAGTTTGGAAGTGCTTTTTGTTCTTTCATTATACTCTCTCTCTCTCTCGCTTTTTTCTCTTTCATAATACTCTCTCTTTCTCTTGCTCTTTTGTCTTTCATAATTCTCTCTCTCTTTGCTCGTTTGTCTTCCATAACACTCTCTCTCACACACACACATACACACACACTTGAAGGTAGACATAAAAAGTCCATGTCGGCAGACAACACAATGACAAAGACAAACAAAGCAACAGAAACAACAAAAAAACAAGAAAGAGGCTAATGGCATTGTCTGAAGAGGTAGAACGGTCTTTGTAAGGTACAGTCATGTTCTACTTGTCTAGTTTGACTTTGAATGGCATGCTTGTTTAGCAGAAGATTCGGGTCTGCCATCAAACAAACACGCCCAAACATTTTATTATCATAATATGCTGTTGCAGTTGAATATTCAATATCATTTACCATACAATAATACTAGCGTACACTTAATTAGAATTACTATAACAAGTGGGCAAATAATAGCACATTTGCTCATTTTTATTGCATTCAAGGATGCAATGATGGAAAATAGTGCATTGAGAAGATCAAAGAAAATGAAAATTAATAGTAGCATGAGAAACAATACAGGGAATAGGTACAAAGATATTAAATAGTTGGAAAATACGTATGGATGGTTTCCTCTCAATGCCCTGGCCTCTCTCTCTTTTTGGTTTTGCTTTTGGATTGGTTTCCCTCTCTTAACTTCCATTTCAATGTTATTCTCCAAAAAGCTAAAAGAAAACAAAAATAAAAAATAAGAGTAATGATCCTACATGACCCTCTCCCACTCATATATGTAAGACCCCAAATGATCACCATTAAAATTGGCATGGATCTCTAAAAAAGTTATCACATGGGTGTGGGACTTAACTTTTCTATAGATCCGTGCCAAATTTAATGGTCACATGGGTGGAGGAGTGTCCTATAGGATCATTTCTCTAAAAAAATATATACTTATCAAACTTTGTATGAGAAAGATTCTCATACAAAGTTCTTTTTTAGATAATTCGCAGTATTGAGTTTGGATGATCAAGTGGCCTCTCTCAAGGTCTAGCTGCTCTTTGCAGTCTGGCCTAGGTAGTATTTTACCAACATGCACAAATTCATATTAGATTCCCTCCTCCAAAAAGAAAACTACAGTGATATTCTAGACGAGTAAAGTTTATTATGGTCATCTGTTAGTTTTGAGTTTTGAAAGATGTATACAAGGATTAGAAAAGACGATGGCAACACAGGCAATATCAGTAATGATAGGAAAAAGGAAATGGAATCGCCGTCATCAGATGATACTAAATAAATATTGTATATTCTGGAACACTTTATGGAGTAATTAATTTGAGTCTTTCACTTGGCAGGTATATTAACACGAGCATCTGGCCTATAAATGTCCTAAAAATCTCGCATTTCAATCAGAAAAGAATGTCACTAGAAATCACACATATCTAGTTTATGGAAGCACACTAAAATCTCTGTAGACTGTGGGACAACCATAGTACATTGGGATCCCCACCATCCAGTGATATGGAGGGTGATGGAGAGATTTGGGCACAACAAACAAGACATAACCACAATGGTGTGTCCTACACTCTCTCCATCACTGTCTGGCATTCCATTGAAAAGGGATGAGAGATAACCCTAATGAACTGTGGTTTTCCCATATTTCATTGGGTTATTTCCCTTTAGTCATAATTTGGGAGGATGAACATACTTTCTTTACCTTCACCAATAGTCCCCACAAGAACATATTCCATCGTTGAAATGGTGGAATCGGGTGGAGTTCCCGAGGATTATCTCTCGCCCTTGAATCCGTGATATAAGCTTCATAGCACTGTGACAATCCCCACAGACCCTCAGATTCTGCATAACCCTAATGGGTGCTGGAGCATCAATACTAATAAGCCCAAACGCCACTGCCAACTTTTCACTATGATAGCTCAAAGCTGGCACCTTTTGCTCTTCTTCCAATTGCTGCAACACAAAGCTCTTATCAGGAACATGCCCAAATCTCATCATTTCCTCTCCCAACTCCTCAAGCTTCTCGTAAATCTCTCTTAGTCTTGGGTGGACCCGATCATTGGACACAAAAACATGAACCCCCATTTGGGCTTCGACCCAAGAGCAAGCGGTCCCCTTTTTCACTCCCCTCTCGTGAATCATCTTCCTCACTCTTGCAACCCCCTCCCATAGGCCACAAGCTGAATATATATTAGCCAATAGATCATAGCCAACAGGGTTCATTGGCTCAATGGCAAAGAGCCTTTCCGCTGCTCGTTCGGCTAGCTCAACATGCCTATGGGTTCGGCAGGCA